AGAGAGAGAGAGAGAGACAAAAAAAAAAGGAGAAAAAAGTTTTTTTTTTCGAAGAAAGTACAGCGAAGAATGAAAATTGGAACGAACGGAAATACGTTGGAAAGAACGAGGTGGGGGCTGGTGGGGGTTAGAGGAAGAGGACAAAAGTTCGGATTCGCGGGGACAAGTGAAAGCCACGTGGGAGTTTAGCGGGCTAGTAAGAACAGTAGTAGACTGTAAAATCTGTAACAATAGTTCCCATACCGTGCAATAGTCTCACATTGTGGTATTCTAGGCTTGATTCTAGGCACTCCCACAGGACAATTATTACATCATGCAATTTCCTTTGCATTTCGTCGACAACTTTTTGATGCTGTCTCGATAATGCCACGGAACGTAAGTACTTATATACATATGTATTGTACGTAGATCGTCAACATATTGGTTATTTTCTAAATGAGAATCATAAGTATACTTACACACACACACACATACTTATATATGTATGTATATATATATTTAATACATACGTGTGTCAAATAAATATACACATATATATATATATATACATAGCTGGTAATTTCGAGCTCGTAAACAAGATATAAAAGTTTTCTGAATGTTATCTAATAAAATATAGATACAGTATGCGAGATTGTTTAAAAAAAAAAAAAAAAAAAAAAAAAAAAAAAAAAAAAAAAAAAAAACACCTGACTATTGAATATCATTGTTAAGTCGAAACAAGATTGAAAGTAAATATATATACGTATCCTTCCTATTGGAATAAAATGTGCTTCCATTTTCAGCGATGTTCCGACGAATATCAATTGTTTCACGTTCTCTCTTAATATCGAAATAAAAATAAAATAGAAATAACACTAGAGGTACCATTAAAGATGGTTCGACGAACGTCTTAAAGTACGACATGTGAACAATCCAAGAATAATTTCTATTGTATCCATCTACTGACTATAATATGCTTATGGATGTTTATTTATATGTACGTACGTACGTACGTAAGTACTTAGAACCTCGTGTAATAAGCGATTATCCCACGTATCCACATATTCGTCCTTGATACTTCGAGTAGCGCGTCCATAACCGATAGAAATGCACCGATTCTCATCCTGAATACATTATTCATTATATCACGCGTAACGAACTGGTTTAACTCGAAGATGACTCACTCACAATCAAAGATTTTTTTTTTTCTCTGGACATCCTCCGCCCCCCTTCGTTTCTCAACCACGCACAGATCACCGTCTCTCTTCTCTCCTCGACCACGTGTCTATTTCTTCCCACCCTGAATATAGGCGACCCGTCGTACATCGTCGTAAAACGGTACACCTGAATTGCAGGCTGACAAATAATCGCTCCACTTTTCTTCTTTTCATTATTATAATTACGTATCTCGTTTGGATAAATAACGAAACTTTGAGCCGTCGTCTGTCTTTGTAAATAATTTCTTTCTTTTTCTTCTTTTTTCTTTTTTTTTTTTCTCCGTACTTTCTAATGCAATTAATGTAGATATACTAACGAAAGACTTGTCCCAACGACCGTCACGATTCGATAATATACCACATCCCTTTGACATTTGAGTAGGACGAAGGATATTGCGTAGATAAAATATTCGATTTAGCAATAACATTTATCAAGAGATATTCTTCATATTGCATGATCAAGCAGTTATGATTGTTGATCTCGATTTAACGTCGATCGCCATTGAAATTGAAATCTGAACCCGGATCACGGTTTTTCTTTTTTTTTCTTTTCTTTTCTTTTTTTTTTCATTTTCTTTTTCTTTCTCTTTTATCTTTTATCTTTTATCTTCCCATAGAAACTTGACTCTCTTCTCGATCGCGGCGTGACTTCGTTTTTGTTCCTTTTTCCTTTTTTGTTGTTTTCGTTTTTCATCTTTCTTTTTCTTTTCTCTTTTTTTTTTTTTTTTTTTTTTTTGCAACAACATTCCTCAACTTCGTATAATTATTTGTAACGATATTTAATGATCCCTACTCGAGAGAAATAACTTTTTATTATCGTCTAACGATAATGTGTTTAACGATGGAGAAAGGTTAATCATGTTAGTCGGCCTTACAATTGAACATATTGGAGTAATTGGTTTCCAACATCTATCGTAAGTAAGTAATATAGAAAATACGTAAATAGAGAAAGTATCCAATAGTCGTGTCACTTTCCCCGGTTAATCCAATTGTAAGTTTTAGTTGGACCATGACGCCATTTAATGAACCGTGACCTCGCTCTCCTTTACTTTTGCGATATTTCTCAAGTTCAAGGTTTCATTTTTGTTACGTATCGTACAAACGTACAGAGACAAATCAATATACGTATAGATATGATAAAAATTAGAATTATAAAAATTTTATTTGAACTATTATAGAAATCGTTCTCTCTCTCTCTCTCTCTCTCTCTCTCTCTCTCTCTCTTTCTTTATAATAACTTTCACCATCTAAGATTAACGATCGTTAGATAGATCGACTTATTCTTTTGTCCGATTACTTTTTAGATATCACGAGATAATCTGTTCACGGAGTGTACAGGAAAAGAGCGTTAGCGTATTAACAAAGCGTATCCTTGAGTGACGTAAAATGACTATGACGCTTCCTCACAATTTTTTTTGTTTTTATTTTCTTTTTCTTCTTTCTATAACGTCCTATATTAATTACTTTCCATTTTTTTCTTCCTTTCTTTCTATCTTTCTTTCTTTTCTTTTTCTTCTTTCGCGTATAAATCTTCCGGTTTAATTCGAGAGACCGATTATGTTACTCGCTGATACGAGTGTTAAAGTTACGTGTACGGGATGTCCTTACATTGCTCCCTCTTCTCCCCTCCTACCGTCTCGTATGTCTAAAATATGTCATTTTTTCTAGAGGAATTATTTTCATCCTGTAATGAAGTCGTTGGCATGAAATTAGAGGATGCGTTTTAGCTAACTGGCTGGATGGTTGGCTGGTTGGCTGGTTGGCTGGTTGGTTGGTTGACTGGTTGGCTGGTTAGATGGTTGGTAGACTGGTTCGCTGAATATTACGTGTATATATAAGTATAATGTCGTTTGTAGATTTTTATAGATAATTCCGTAATTGAGGAAAGTTCGTCGAGAAGAAATTCATCAACGTCGTTTGTAACGTCCTGATTAAAAGAGACCCTATCTATTTAGGTTTGTTATTTTTCCGGCATAAGAAACGCGGAAATTGAATTAAATTCTTTTCTTGACAGGAGTTCATTTTACGATGACAGGACAATTGAAAACAATTGGGTTCATAAACACGCACGCGTACACACATTGTGTTCTCAAACCTATTCTGTCTTCTTTTCTTTTTGTAACTCCGTTCTTCTTCTCCTTTACAAATGGTAATGTGCATATTATATAGATATATATATATATATATATATATATATATATATATATATATATATGTACGTATGTATAAAAAATATGATTATTAAGATACGATTTATTATTTGTTTGATAGAAAAAAAAAAAAAATATTCCATGAGTACAAATCGCTAATACGTTAATACTTAAATCGAAGCGTATTATTTACAGCGTAAATAATAATAATAATAGTAATAATAATAATAATAATAATAATAATAATAATAATAATAATAATATTAATAATACTAATAATTATAATTATACTAATAATAATAATAATAATAATAATAATAATAATAATAATAATAATAATAATAATAATAATAATAATAATAATTATAATAATATTAATAATAATGAATGCTGCCACAAGCCCTATCGTTTTTCCGATCCAACTAAAAGAGAGAAAAGAAAGAAAAAAATTATTTAAATAATTCGATTTTGTCATTATCGTTGTCGTTGATATATCGCCAATTAGGGATATTCGTTTAATCTAAAAATGTCACATACGATAGATAGAATAAATAGATTAGCATCGATTTTAACAAAATTATTATAGATACAACTAAGAATCCGGTTGGTTGTCCAGTGTCAGAGATAATACAAATAGAAAGTTGCGGTTAGACGCGAATAGAATGTACCCTATGTAAGTACTCCTGTGGAGTTCGACGGACCACGCCGATGAAAGTAAACTAAGTACATCGCAATTCTCTTTTGCACGTTCCCTGGTTACCACCACCATCACCACTACTACATGAGGATAATCTTGCAAAATTTTCTTGGATTCTTACATAACATCACGGAATGTATCTCCGAATAGGTATAACAGTTTTGATATAACGTGTATGCATATATACATACGTATGTATGTATGTATGTATGTATACATGTATGAGCTGATTATTCGAATATCAACACATATACATATATAGATTCATGCGTATATACATATATGTATATATATATATATATATGTATACGATTATTACAAGAATAATTCACGAACATGTATAGTAACCTGTAATAATTCAGGAACAAGTTTCGTCGTTGCCTTTGAATCAATAATCTCATCGTTCAGCAAAGAAATTATTCGGCTTGGTTGTATGTGAGGATAATTGATCGATTTGCTGCGAGGTCGACAGGTCGATCAATCGATAGCGACGAATATTTAGCGTTAAATTTATGGGTGAATTGCGCCAGGGAAATTCTTTATATATATATATATATGTATGTACGTATGTATGTATGTTTTTTCTCTATCGCGTTTGTCTCATGAATTGATTCATTTAAATCGATCGAAGCTGAAATATATAAATATGGTCCCGTACCTTCCCCAAGGGATTTTTCGTATCCTTCGAATTTTACTTTTTTAGTTCATTTTTGCAATTTTTTCTTATTTTTTTTTCCTTTGCACTTCTTTTTTCTTCTTTTTTTTTTTTTTTTTTTTTTTTTTTTTTTTTTTTTTTTTTTTTTTTTTTATTATTGTTAACGAGTTCGTAAAAACATGTAGCATTTGTGAATAGCTCGTGAGGTACTCTTTTTCTTTTTTCGTCTCGTAAGGATCAGTGAAACGATCGAGTTTTTTTCGCGTAAGAAAAAAAAAATATATATATATATGTATATATATATATATATATATATATATATATATATATATATTTATGTATATATTAATCGCGTATAGCCGTCTCCCTGTACATCGATCTGACAAGCGTGTAGCGAAACGAACAACTTTCTAGAAGATTCGCAAGCAAGATTTTAAAGACGGTGCGTTTGATGCAATTCTCGAGGACCCTGAAGATAAATTCGCGTATATATATATATATATATATATATATATATATATATATAAAAACGAAACGCTCCGTGGCTATCTCGTACCGATCAATAGTTGTTAGCTGAACTGGAACGAAGATACTGATCGATTTGACTCGCGGTAAGAGGCGTACCAGCCGCCGCACCAGCCGCTGCACCGGACGATCTCAATGGTGCGACATAATAAAAGGCCTGTGGGTCTCTCTGAGATTCGAGCAATTGAAGTTTGTGAGGTTGTTGTTGTTGTGGCTGTTGTTGTTGCTGACGACGTTGTTGCTGCTGGGCATAAAGATTCTGGGACTGCATGAGCAACTGGGTCTGTTGTTTCCTGTAGAGAAGTTCCTGGGGTTGGGCAACGGACACAGCCGAGATCGAAGCCGATTGGACGGGTTGCGTTACGTGTTGCTTGTAAACAGCGGACTGACGTTGAGGTTGTTGCTGATGTTGCTGAATCTGTTGTAGTTGCTGGAGACCAAGTAGGGACTGGGGCTGGGCTACGAATGGTTGGAGTTTGTGACTTAAGCTAAAGTCGCCAACGGTTTGGGGTAAGGTTTGATAAAGTTGGGCATTGTACTGACCAGTTGCGGGATCGTAAATCAGTTCCGACTGATAGATGGGCTCCGCGGGGACTGTAGTGACCGTGGTCTGACCTAGCTTCGTTCTCGAGGGTGAAAGTGCGGCTTGTTGGGTAGACTTTGAGGGAACACCGACCGTGTTAACGTAACGCTCTAACTCCGCGGCAAAATTGAGATGGGCTGAGCTCGAGGGGCTGACGCTGGTGCGAAGATGAGTAGAGGTGCTCGGGGTGGGCCGTGATTGTGCGCTGTACGGTATAGATCTTTCTGTGCTACTCGGGGAGACATATTGTGCGGCGACTTGTGCAATATGGGGCCTGGGTGTAATGGCGACCGATTGAGGACGGACTTGATGACGAGTCACTGCCTTGCGAGTGCTAGTCTCGAGTGATTGATAAGCTAACGGAGATATCGTAGACGGAGGTCTTTCCGAAGGAACGGCTGTCGTTTGATATTGAACATTAGAGGTTGATGCTAGTCTATAGAGCTGCGAGGGACTAGTGGTTGGTGTTGAATCGTAAAGAGCAGTAGACGGTGAAACTTGAACGTAAGACTGTTGAGGCTTTCTAAAAGCTGTAGGCCGAAGTTGTACAGGTTTTTGAACTTCCTCCTCTAATTCCTGGCTAGCTTCGTCGTCAAGTTGATATTGTGTTTGAAATATGGCCGTTGGGGTACGTGCGGTGGTTGGCTGATAAGTTGGCCTGATCGGTCTGATCGGGACAGGTCTAACGGATGGATAATTTGCTGGTCCAGAAAGATCATCGTCTTCCTGTTTTTCCGGAAGATCCTCCTCTTCTTCCTTCGGTGCATTAGGGTCGCAAGGATTACCGGATACATATGTGAACTCTCTTTTGTTACCATCGGGATCTATGTAACCGTACTTTCCTCTTACAACGCAATCCGTTCCTCTGGTTTCTTCCTTGAACGAACCATCGGCTGCCTCATAACCGAACGTGAACGATCCGTCGTCATTGACCTTGTTGTAATTACGAATGGTTTGTACGGGTGGCGCTTTTGATGGTTGTAAAGCCTCCTTAGAGCGTGCCGATGGCAAGGCACGCGTTCTAGGCTGATAAACCGACTCGAAATCGTCTTCGGCCGCCTGATTGTCATCTTCGTAATAAACCTGAGGTTCTCTTACTCGTGGTCGTATAGCAGGTCGAGCGGATTCCGACAAAGCTAGCAGACATGCTGCGAGAACCTGTTGTGATAAGAAATAATGAATTAATTTGATTGAAATCACATGATAGTAAGAACGATCAATGTTACATTTCAGTAGAGAACAAATAGGTTCACGTTTACATACACACACACACACATACACACATACATACATATATATATATATCACCTGACGTGAAATTTAATTGTCGTTGGAGATCGTATGAGATCAGTAGGTAAGTATTAGATTTTATTTTCTAAACACGAAACCGGATCCATGTATCGAAGTACTTTTATAGCGAATAGGAAGCAGAAGACAGCGAAGGAGAGAGCGAGTTTTGCGGATCGCTGAACTCGAGCATGTGCACGAGCCAAACGCCTTGGAAAATTCCTTATCGGTGTATTGGAACGAGATCGAAGCTCTCGTTACGAGACCGCAAACATGTAATCCACCGATATAAAAGGTAATTTAAAATTACGAGCTAAATCATTTCTGTTTGAAAGGCATGTAGGTTTCTTTAGCTTTAACAAATTGAACATTAATGATCAAAGAAAAATTAGTATTATCAGAGCTATATTAATTAATAGATAGTAATTAATTTTTCACGTTATAAACGTATAATTGTGGAAATGGTAAGAAATGTAAAAGAAAAGAAAAGAAAAGAAAAGAAAAGAAAAAAAAAAAACAAAGAACAAAAAAAAAAAAGAAAAAAGAAAATTAGAATATTCAAAACCTTCCTAGATTCTATTCTCAAATGAATTATAATTAATTTGCTTTACACATATCCATATATGGTGTATACAAATTAATATTATATTAGTATATACGAATAGAAATCAGATATCGTCGAACAGGAAAAGTAAAGTTTTCAAAACAATACCAGTTATTACATTTGTCCATTTTTTTCTTCTTTTTTTCTTTTTTCTTTTTTCTTTTTTTTCTTCCTTTTCGAATATTTCTCTTTTTTTACTTCGAACCAAACAAAGAGATTTAATCACTTCGAAGGCTAACTGGGATGAATCCTTGAAGGATTATAAGCATATTTCCCATGGTTGGTGACCGTACATAAATAGATAGATAGATATACGTAAATGATGTTTTGAAAAGCGACGAAACAGTGGTCCCGACTTCCGGTAATGTGACTTGCGCTGGGAACCGCCCTGTACTCTTAGCCTCAGTTACGTAATATTTTACACACATACACACACACACATATATATATATATATATATATATATATATATCTGGTATACTAGTTGGTTGACCCAAATACGAAGGCGAAATGGCTGCCAGGGTATGCCTCCTTTACCGTGAGATTCAGATTCAGAGCGGTGTAACTTGGCGTGGCTCTCTCGATGAACAACACACGGCTCTTGATCTCCTTGAACCGAAGCAAATGCTCGCACACGATAGAGATAGATAGATAGATAGATAGATAGATTGAGAGAGAAAGAGAAAAAGAAAGAAAGAGAGTAAGAGAGTGAGAGAGAGAGAGAGAGAGAGAGAGAGATACGTACCACACCTCACGACGAGTTACAGGAAACGCGGTATTACTTTGACTGTCACTTTTATCGAGAATGCTGCGTGCTCTCAAGAATCGATTTCGTGAATCGATCTTTAGAATCGATCTCGAGAAAAGTGTCAAGGAACGTTACCGTACATACGTATATACCTATTTATAATACAAAGGGATATCATTCTTATCCTCATCTTAATCCTTATACTTGTTTCGAACTCTCTTCGTATTAATCATTCTAAGACACGTATGACCTTAATTCTCGATGTTGAAAATAAAGACAAAAAAAAAAAAGAAAAAAAAAGACGTATTAGGTAATCAGACCTTTGCCATCAGAGAATATAAAAGTTTACCGATATAAAGGATTTACGCATAGAAAATCTATATACGCAGATTCTAGATCCGTTCTCGGTGAATAATCTAAGAGAATAGTTGGGAGAAAATACGAGGCTAAGATTGGGATATTCTTAAGAAATCTTCTCTCTCTTTTTTTTCTTTCTTCTTCTTCTTCTTCTTCTTCTTCATCTTTTTCTTTTACTTCTTTGTATTCCTTTTTTTTTCCTTTTTTCTCTTTAATACGATATTCAAACATAAAAAAAAAAAAAAATTCCTTTAATTTTTTAACGTCCACGCCTCCTGAACGCCACCCTATTGTTCCGAAATAAATAAATAAATAAATAAATAAAAAAAAAAAAAAAAAAAAAGAAAGGAAAACACCGAGGATACGGCTTTTGATAATTTGATCTAATTTGTTATCGAGAAATAACGATAATAAAGGATAAAGGAAAAAAACAAAGAGTAATAGAAAAGAAAGGAAAATACGTAACAATTCCTTCAGAAATATTTTTCATTAACGCGATTAACGAACATTCGAAGCATGCTCTGCTCCCGGCTAACGTCCTTGAATGTTGAGACTTTCGAACGGTACAATATACGGTATGCATCGTGTTCTCCTGAGGCGTGAGCCAATTCATTTCTCCGTCGTAATAATAATATGATGGACTTTTTCTCTCTCTCTCTCTCTCTCTCTCTCTCTCTCTCGTTTTCTTTCTCTTGCTTACCGATTGCCCAAAACGAAACGTGAGATCATAATCGATTTTGATCAGTCACGTACATAAGTATCCCTACGGATTATAGAAATTCCCCTTTGTCTCTCGTTAAATCATTTCATATTATATACGTACAAATTAAAATTCTCTTTACTCGTGATCCTTATCTTTTTTCTTTATTCTTTTTTCATTTTCTTCCTCTTTCTAATCTAAAAATAAACTCTAGCACAAATCGATTTTTCATTCGCGACAGGCACACACATATAAATGCACCTATAATAATAATAATAATAATAATAATAATAATAATAATAAGAAGAAGAAGAAGAAGAAGAAGAAGAAGAAATAATTGAGAATATTTGAAATGATTTTATTCTTTGCTTTTTCTTTTCTTTTCTTTTTTTCTACTTTTTTTTTTTTTCTTAATATTTAACTTCCCACCTCTGTTTTCCTTAATATTCAATTATTTTATTTTTTTTTTTTTTTTTTTTTTTTTTTTTTTTTTACGAACAAAGAGGACAAAGAATCATGAAAACGTAATCGCTCGCGAAAGAAATCACGGGAAAGTATTTATTATATCAGAGAACTAACCGCATCGGGCCAAACGAACTATAATGACTCCTTCTTCTGGAAAATCGTGACGGTTAGGCCGTAGCTCCTATAATCAAGCAAACTCGGTGGTGCACGCCAGTCAGTCACATACAGTGAGAGGCACGGACACATTCGGTACCACGCCTTGATTTAGCCCTACTATTGCAAATCGTTTTTCTATTCCTCTCTCTCTCTCTCTCTCTCTCTTTCTCTCTTTCTTTCTCTCCCTCTTTCTCTCTCCTTACTTTCCAGAGAAAGGAAGAATCGTTTATGCTTTTGATAGATCGAGTATATGTTTCAAATAAAACTATTTCGTTCGATCGACTTATATTTTCTCTCTCTCTCTCTTTCTTTCTCTTTTATCTATATATATATATATATATATATATATATATATATGGCGATGAGTTCGTTGATAACGGAAGTAACGCGTTACAAGAACCCGGAAATGCTATTTGTTGTTTTCGAAGTATCAAAGTGATATATACATACATATATATATATATATATATATATATATATATATTTATATATATATATATATGTGTGTGTGTGTGTGTGTGTGTGTATGTGTGTATATTTGAGACGAGTGAACGTTCGACGTTCGAAATGTTTAAAGAGAGTATTAGCGGTATCCTTATAAAGGATGCTGTAGTGCTCGTGTAATACGCCACTCGAATGAAACGAGCCTAGCCTTTAAGATATCTACCTAGATCTCTTTTCCTTTTTTCTTTCCTTCCTATTACTCGTTTCCTTTTTTACTTTGAAATCATTAGGAATGCGAACGCAGAGAAAAAGAGAGAGAGAGAGAGAAAGAGGGAATGTAGGAAGGTATACGAGAACGTTCGGGGACAAGAAACCTATTCGATTTTATCGACCGCTTACGTCTTCATGAAAGCGGAAGCTGCGTGAATATATACACACGTATATGTATACATATGTATGTATGTACGTATACTGAGTAACAAAGCATCAATTAGTTATATTATTTCGATCGTTTGTAAAGTTAATTAACGAACGTTTCGTATTAATTTTTTTATTCTTTCTTTCTTTTTTCTTTTTTTTTTTTTTTTTTTCTTTTCTTTTCTTTTCTTTTCCTTTTTTTTCTTTCTTTCCATACTTAATTAAACGTAAAATGGATAACGTATTAAAAAGATTTTCAACGATGAAAAATAATATTTAAATGGTTTTGCTTTATGGTTAATAATAATAATTTGTCGTTACGTTAAATCGATCGTATTAAATTATAGGTATGTAAGTACTATATACGTGTTTATATATTAACCAGGTGAACCTTTAGAGGCTCGAAAGTGAAATCTTGGAATGTTTATGTACATACGTCTTATACGTGAGTTGAATGAGATTGAAAGTATAAAAGTCTTAATGACTACCTCCGAGCAAGCAACCAAGTAACCAAGAAACCAAGCAACCAAGCAAGTATTGTAATATGTATTAGGAAAGACCCGATCCCGATTGCGCCTTCGTCATTTTCTTCAGACAATGGGCGTGCGTAGATCGACATCGTCGAGACTTCTTTTCGACCTTGCAATTCCGCGTGAGTTTCTTCTTTGGTCGTTCATTTCGTCCCGGAACATTCGCAATCTTACTCAATGTATTTTTTAAGAGGAGAGAACGAAAAAAAAAGAGAGAGAAAAAAACAGAGAAGAAAGAAAGAAAGAGAGAAAAAATAGAAAAGAAAAATTAAAAAATTCAACCATCTTCGTTTCTCGTCGCAATGAAGATATTATTTTATTCCTCTTTTTTTTCCTTTTCTTCTTTTTCTTTTTTTTTTATTCCTTTTTTTTATTTCTCCCCTTTGTCCTATCTCAAAGTTATATCCATTTATTTGTATCATCGAACGATATAAAATGATTATTTTTACGTTCTGTTTAAAAATAGATTTGAAAGATTCACTTGATACAATGCAGAAGAAACGTTTGAGAGAGTTCGTGTCTGGTAGACGATCATTGACCCTGAAATATATCCTAGTCTCAGAACAGTGTAAGGAGTCAAGGGTTGAAATTCAAGGCCGACCTATCCTCCTTACGAGGAACGTGCATAAAACGTACGATACTATTACTAAGGAGTCAAGAAAGGAATTTAAAAACGAAAAGTGGAAACGAAACGAAACGAAACGAAACGAAACGAAACAAAACGTACTTACGTTAGTTTAGTGGTTTAAACTTTCGGACTAAAGAAATTTATGTTCGACGATGCGCATAAATGTTCAAACGAAGAAAGTTTATATATATATATATATATATATATATATATATATATATATATATATTCTTTCTGTGGATATTCCAGCGTAGAAAAATAAAATAAATGGAAGAGGACGAAAAAGAGAAAGAAGAAGAATGGAAGAGAGACAATTTCTAAGTTTTAAAAAGTTTTACTTTCAGGTTTTAATATCTCCCATTGTGATCTCGTTCGTAGACAAAAGATTCGAAAGTCTAAGAAACGCGAGCCGTCTTCGACGTTCATGGAAAAGCGACGCATGACTCTATGGAGGATATGAAAAGTGATTCTAGAAAAGGACGAGAAACTAACGGTTAGAATAGTATAGTATTCTGTTGAATGTATACATAGTTGCCATTGCCAGATAGTCATTGGTTTCGTATCGAGTTAACTCGAGAGTGAATGTGAGTCATTTCGTATGGGCGTCGAAAGTGCACATTGGTATGCTCTACGAGGACCAACATGCCCTTGTGTGATCGAAACGTATACACAATTATATATATATATATATATATATATATATATATATATACATATGTATCCACATATGTATATAAATATATCACAAATGGATGAACGAACATTTTATTACACGTATTGCGTGTTGCGAATGTGATACCAATGAAGCTTTCGTATATTAATGATGTTACGTTATCAGATTTGTTCTCACTTTTTCTATCTTTCTTTCTCTTTCTCTATCTATCTATTTATCTTTATCTTTCTAAGGAAGTCTAATGATCTATCGTGAAGGCCGAATTGCACATAGAGTGCCGATTAGAATGATTAAAAATGTGTTTCGATTGCGCACGATTTTTTACGTCTCTATTACGTTCGAACAAAGTGATCGTTGATGTAGATTACAAAAAAATTAATGGAAAAAGATTTGCTTTTTTTTTTTTCTTCCTTTCTGTTTCTTTCTTCTTTTTTTTTGTTTTCTTTTTTTTTTTGTTTGTTTTTTTGTTCAAAGACACTGAACGTTTTAATTGGACGAGATTAAAGATCTTAAGGATCGATCGATCGTTCGATTTATCATGGATTACGATGAAAAAGAAAATAATTATGAAAAAAAGAAAGAAAAAGAGAATGAAAGACTATCGTAAAACGACTGAAGCGTTTAATTGTAGATCATCGATCAATATAATTATAATATCAAATCGTTAAAGTAAACACACATAGACACTCGTCCTCGTGCCTAACGTTTGGACACGAAGAAAGCGTTGAGATTCACTTCCATTATATGCATTAGCCTCGCTTTCGCAGTTCAACGTGTACGGTTTCTCTCCGTTTGATTGCTTTCTTAAAAGTATAAAACTAGGCTTAGGAAACTACGCTGTAGTATATCTCTGATTGAAAAACGTTTTTTCTTTTTTTTTTCTTTTTTTTTTTTTTTACGAAAAAGAAAGAGGAAGAAAAAATAAAAAGAAAAGAAACAGATTTTCTTAATTAATCTCCCGACGATTAATCAATGAAATATTAATCAATTTTTCTCAAATGAATTTCAACGTTTCATTTCGACGAGATCGAAATTTAAAAAAAAAAAAAGAAAATGATCGATCGATCTGTTCGTTCGCGTATCAATTTCGAAAGTTACAACGAGTTCGATTAATATTCTGTGGATGAACTTTGAAGGGGGTTATCAGGTTAAGACGATAAAAAAAAAACATAAATAAATAAATAAATAAATAAATAAATAAATAATAATATAACACGGCGTTCCCTTAACGAATCGGTGAAAGTATGCGTGTGTGTATGTGTGTGAGAGAAAGAAAGAGAGAGAAAGAGAGAGAGAGAAAGAGAATAATTGCACGTTCCCTAGATATAATCGATATCCCTTACGATATCGATGTATCGATTTTGTTACGTGCGAAATAGGACTCAACGTGTATTCCATGCACTCTCGTGTACCTTCGATCTTTATTACGATCGTTATCTCGTTATACCTGTGCTTAGTATTTAAAGGAACGATTGTATACCAAGCTATCTTATACATTTACTTCTAAAGTGATCGATATCGTAAGAGAAACATTCGATTTTTTATTAAAAGGAAAAAAATAATTGGTATTAGATCAATGAGTTTATTGAGTGATTCCATTAATCGATAATTTGTTTTTCATACAATATAATCGTTTATTATTTTATTTTCATTGATTACGAGAGAAAGTCAGAGAGAGATAGAGAGATAGAGAGATAGAGAGATAGAGAGATAGAGAGAGATAGAGAGAATGAAATAGATTTGAAACGATCCTTTATTAAATGTAATTTTTTTTTTCTATTTTCTCAATATTCATTCTTACGTGATAATTAATGAGTTAATATAGTGTCGAAAGGATTATGAATGTAGAAAGAAAGAAGGACAGATAGAAAGAGAGAGAAAGAAAGGGAGGAAAGATAAAGATTTCCGTTTTTCATAGAAATAAATACATCGAGGGGTGTCTAACCGTGAAAGACGAGTTGCGATACTTTCGTTATCCCACATGATCCGTGATCCGTGACGAGCTCAAAGTATGTGAGAAAAGTAGAATGCGTAAAACTAGGAAATGCCATAGAGGCCGGATTACACTTCGTGTATCTATCTAGACGTTTACGTAAAATACTGGTATATATATATATATATATATATATATATATATATATATATATATGGCTAAATGATTGCTAGAGAAAAAAAAAATCAATGCAGATTAGAACGGAACTCTTTTACGTAAATACTTGTTATCGATTTAATAATCTTTATGAAAAATGAATATATTAATAATAATAATAATAATAATAATTATTATTATTATTATTATCACGATTATATTCGAATTAAGAGATCTCATTTGAAAGGGAAAAGTATAAGAAAAAGACGACGACGACGACGACGACTACGACGACAATGATGATCATTATGATGATAATGATGATGATTATGATGATGATCGTGGGTACAAATCGTGAGTTAAAAATGTGTGAAATTAACGCACGTTTCTCATTCAACTCTAAAGTATTTGTAGACACAAAGGGAATAATGAACTCGCAGGAAAAATGGTTTACCGGTTAGTTCACTGATCAGGAACGCGACGACTATGAGAAGGTGAAATTCGAACGCACAAGCATAATGCATTTACGATTACGGTACCAACATGGCTACTTACTTATGATTAAATTAAAGGCGAACACGTTCGATAGTAATGATTCGTAAATGATGAATAATGAAGAGAAAGTCACCACTTCTGTTCGCAATATTATAACGACGTAACTATACGGGAATAATCGCGCGCGATGATACGTACCCACTTGTAAAACTTGTAAAAGACAATCATTATCATTCATTTTCCTAGTTGATGCACTATCGTATTTTCTATTAGATGATAATTTTCCAATTGACGATTGGAAAGAAATGTTTTGTCGTCGATTCTTTAAAAAAAAAAAAAAAAAAAAAAAAAAAAAAAAAAAAAAAAAAAAAAGGAGAAGAAAAAAAACAAAAAAAAAGTCCGACTGTCACGAATGAACATTTTTCGAAATAAAATTCTGACGCACCCACCGTTCTCGATCGAATTATATCGATTTAATATTGTCTACGACACGGTAACACACAACACACGCGAGTTAGAGATAAATGAGTTAGAAAAAGAAAATTAAAAAAAAAGTAAAAAAAAAAAAAAATAAAAAAAAAAAAAAAGAAAAAACAGAAGGAAAAAAAAGATTGAATTTATATATACACGCGTAATATATATCGATGGGTAAAATTTGCTTACGTACCAATAGAAAAATCCTCATGGTGTCTCCGTTTTGTGAAGGGTTCGACGGTGAGGTATACGGTCCTCTGAGAGTTTCACTGAGAGAGTGCAGTGGGATAGTACCCACCGCAGTCCTTTATAACCTATACGAAGGCTTTTGCCAATAGTGGGGGCATCTTGGACAGGCATTCGTTGCTCATCGGCACTGGAACAACACCCCACGAATTAGATTCTTAGATGGTCTGTCATGTTATGGCATGGCCATTGCCAAACAATATAAAATCAGGGAAGGGGTCCTCATTGCCAAATTATAACAACCTAGATTCTTTCCCGTATTCTTATTCGATAAAACTGGCACATACGTTTTATTTCACTTAAGTAACTCCTTTAATTCGTACGAAATATAAACGCGAGATACGAGTTGATTTTTTTTTCTTCTTTTTCTTTTTCTTTTCTTTTTTTTTTTTTTTCTTTTTTTTTCATAGTGACCGACGAATAGAACAAATTTATTCTACTTTCTTCGAATATTTTTACGAAGCGAATTCCTAAGTCATTTATTAAATATATCTAACAAGTATTTTTTAAATTGGTAATTTTTCTTTCTTTGTTATTTTACTTTTATTTTCTTTTTTCTTTCTTCTTTTTTCTTTTTTTTTTCTTTTTATAACTACTCGCGCACTAAGAAACTGAAATAACGTTCGTCTCGGAATTACTTTTCATAAAGGACGAAGGAAAATTTTGATTGAGGATGATTTTCAAGCAATTTTCGTTTTCATCGAATTCTTCCGCGAGGAATTATAAAAATATAACGCTACGTCGAGCACGTCGAGAAATAAACATCTGTCGAGAAGAAAGTGCTGGAAAGATCGTCACCGATATCTGAAACGGCCTCTATCTGTCTATTTCTCTCTCTCTCTCTTTCTCTCTCTCTCTCTCTCTCTCTCTCTCTCTTTCTCGTTTACTCTCTAAGCCGGATATAATATTAATTCGGGAGAGTTTCTTGCAATTGATACCTTTCTAAATCGGCCATCACTTCCGCGATATAATTTAGTTCGCACAGGTAAGTAAAGGTGTATATATATATATATAAATATATATATATATATATATATATATATATATATCTTTAAAAGCGTAAATTTATTGAATATTTATACGGTACGATAACGATATTAAGTGAAAATAATTCCTTATAACTTGCATGCGATGTTCGATAATTATTCGGCTATCGTCGTAATTATATTATTTCGATGAGATATAAGTGTCGGTTGTTAAAACATGGATGAAGAAACACACTTGCCTACTTTCATTATCACGACACGATAACTCAACACTATCTTTCAGAGCATCATCAATGGGAGAAGCCATTGCCGTTGTTTGCGGCACGTGCTAGAAAGAGAGAAAGAGAGAGAGAGAGAGAGAGAGAAAGAGATGATAAATGAAAGAGAGAGGAAGATCGTCACGTTTACAATTTACTCGAGCCATCGCGATTCATTCGATCGTTAAGATCAACGTAGTAAAAGTGTTTGCTGGGGGGGGGGGGGGAGGGGTGGGTGGCTGGGTGGCTGGGTGGGGAGGTTTAATCGAACGATACGAATTTCTTTTTTATCGATATAATAAAGTAATACTTCTTGAAAAATTTTTTGAAAGAGAAAGAAATGAAAAAAAAAATAAAAGAAAAAAAAAAAAGGAAGAAAAAGATCATTCGAAAATTATTTTACCGACGAAACAAGCAATTATCGAAATGAATTGAGAATTATTCGATCGGCACAGTCCGTTCAAGGAAAAACAAATGGAAAATGTCGAAGAACGCTAAATAATATACGATGTATCTCGTAGCGACGGATGCTCGACTGACCGTCTTAAAACTTTCGAAGGGGAAAGTTATTTTCACGCACCTATTTTCACGCTCACGAAGTCCTTCAGCCGTCGACACGTTACACGTACATAGGTACATATTTAATTTCATTCGTTCGTTCGTTCCTTTCGTTACTCGTACTTTACTTGTGTAATCTTTTTTCTTCTTTTTTTTTATTTTTTTCTTTCCTTCCTTCCTTTCTTTCTTTCTTCCTTTCTTTCTATTTTTTTCTTTATTTCTTTCTTTTATTTTTTACTTCTACTTTTTTTCCTATATACATATATAGGAAAAAAAGAATATATATATATATATATATATATTCTTTACTGTGCGTTATATAAAGATAATGAATTTTATTTAATTAATCAATCCGCATTCTTTGCTCGGTCGTCGTCCGAGTATCAACCATTTTGGTTCCGTCTTCTTATTTCTTCTGTGTGTGTGTATGTGTGTGTGTGTGTGTGTGTTTTTTTCTTGCTTTTCTTGTCGTCGAGAAAATCAAAAACAAAAAAGAATTTTAATTGGAAAAATAATATTGCTCGCACGTTTCGATAAAGATGCACTTGGAAAAGAAATATTTTTATGAAATCATAAAAATATAAATAAAGAAAAGAAAAGAAATAAATGTTGGGATTAAATTGTATCCACATTTTTCTTCGATAAGTTTCGTTTTGGTTATAAAAGGTGAATGATTTAATGGCATGTAATTCATGATTTTTATGGGGGCAAATAGCCGATGTTATTTATAAACGCACTTACGTAAAGTTCGAATCTTCGTCCATATAACGTCACACCTGCATAATAAATGCACGAACAGTCCCGGCTTGCGTGTAAGAAGGTCAATGTACATTAAGTAATGCTCACCTCGGGTGGACAAAGGTGCATTATGATGATGCGATTGTTTGGTACGTTGCCAAGATACTTAATTTTTTTTTATTTCTTTTTTTTCTTAGAATGTCCTACGATCGTTTAAACCGCATTCACATAAATTTTCAAATAATATATAATCATCTAAATCAAAGAGCCTATCAAATTTAACAAAATCCAATGGGAATTTACAACGACGTTGATAATCGTGAGAATTGGGTTGGATTTCTAATAATCAATAAATCTTTTGACAGATTAATCGAGCCATTCTAATTATCTATATTTCGTTTTATTGTTAAACAGGATACGTTTCGGTCACGTTCTCAAAGTTTAACGAGATATCAACCTCGATTCCTATAGCTTGAAAACCGGATCTACACCTTTGTACGATGGGTTGCAATTATGAAGGGGGGCCAAGCACTCCCGACAAAATGGACTTTTTATCGTTGAAAGAGCAAATTCTATTTTGCAATTACGATTCGTGTGAATTTGTCGATCTGATACACACATAAAAAAAAAAAAAAAAAAGAAAAAAAGAATCTTGCAATCTTGTTCCCTTGATCCTTGTATTATCCTCGAAAAGTAAAAGTTACTATCATGTTCTTGAACGTATTAATAATGATTCTCAATATATATATATATATATATATGTACGTCTATCTCATGCCTTTCATCAAGTATTTCAAATAGGAGCAAGAAAAGGAAAAAGAAAAGGAAAAAGAAAAAGAAAAAGAAAAAGAAAAAGAAAAGAAGAAGTAAAAGAAGAAAAAGATTCGATGTATAAAATCAAAAAAAAAAAAAAAAAAAAAAAAAAGAAAAAAAAGAAAAAAAGCAATCAACGATCAACGATAGATCAAAGGGGATGGATTATCATGGGATATTTGTTTTATTAATGATCTTCTCTTTATTTCGATTTAATTACATTAAAATAACCTAACGATAAAATGAATGAGAGACGTGGTGCTCCCACGTGACTCGAGAACACAACAATACTCGTGTCCTTTTCCTTTCTCTTTTCTTTTCTTTTCTTTTCTCATAAAGATCATTATACAGTGCGAATTAAACAATTTCATAATGAACTAATTATATTGCTTCGTCGAATCCATTTTTCCGCTTCGTCTAATTCATATTATTTACGAAGTTTGGCATAAATGGCAAGAATACGTGTTAATATAATTCTAATCGTCCCAAGAAAGGATTATCGTTCACGGACAAACTATCTACTATCGGAACAAGGCTCCTCACTAAATATATTTGATCTTGACGGCTTGTTGCTTTCGCAAGAGTTCATAGAAAGCAAAAAAAAAAAAAAACAAAAAAAACAAAAAAAGAAAAAAGAATAAACAGAAATCAACTTTACCGATTGACCTCGAAATATTTCCCCTTCTCTTTCTCTTTCTCTCTCTCTCTCTCTCTCTCTCTCTCTCTCTGTTTAAGAGCAATCGATCAATCTTAATGAAACATGAACATAATAGTTCCGATAGTAAATTGTAAAGAGAATAATCACGAGCAAACAAAATTCACTCGTCCATCATTATCGTACCGTCCTCGAATCCATTCTTTTTTTTTTTTTTTTAGGACGCGAAGATCCCTAATCTCTAAGTGTAAATTAGGAGGGAGGAAGACAAAAAAAAAAAAAGAAAATAAAAGAAAATGCACTGTATGATTTCTGGCAGTCATAGAATCAATGATATTAGACTAGACGAGCTAGTAATAACCGAAGCTAATATCGTGCAATGGCGGCGCTACTCCTTGCGGTAGAGCGTAATCTCTAGCAAGCTGATCAAGGATACCGCCACTTTGACTGCGCGTTTGAGGTTGACCTCGTTCCTGAACTGGAGCCGGACCAAACTGAGCGGGACCTTGATTGTAAATCTGAGAAGTTGGTACTGGTTCGTCGTAGGATTGTTGTAGTAAAGGTGATTGACGAGGAATCGTTGGAGAGAAGATCGGTGCTTTTGGTAAAGCCGGCTGCGAGGGAGCCTGTTGCGCTGGTGCATAAACAGCTTGAGTGTGCGTTTGAGGTGGTGGTTGGTATTGAGGTTGACGCGGAATGGCTGCTTGAGCCGGTTGAGGTCTGGCAGCTTGTTGATAGTCGTAATCCTGATAGTTTTGACCTTGGAGAGCCTCCTTGCTCGTTGTTTCATCTACCAAGGTCGGCGGAGCCACTGTAATACCTTCGCCAGCCGGTTGAAAACCGTACTGATTTGCTCCGTACTCCACAACTCGGACCTTTCCAGTGTCATCGACGAATCCGTATTTTCCCTTTACTTCGCCACCTGGTAATTTAGTTTCGATCTTGAAAGAACCATCGGCTCCTTCAAAACCATACGTATAAGAACCATCCTCGTTGTGTCTATTGATTTGCTTCAAAATGGCCACTGGCGTTGGTTTTGGACTTGGCGGTGCTGCTGCTTGTTGTCGAGCCGGTGCTGCATCCGACGAATAACTTCTTGGCGTTGGATGAGCTGGCCTAGGTGCCTGATAATCGGCATAATCGTCGATCTGTTGATACTGCTGCCCCGATACCGACAATATCAGACCAATCACCGTTGCTACCTAAAAATATTTATACGCCACCAATGTTTATTCTATTATTTAATATTTTATAAATTCACCGTACAATAAATTATTATCGACGATAGTTCATTTGATAAATTTATTTAAACAACTATACAACGTTATTTCAATTAGTCGAAGTTAACATTAACACGAATAAAAGTTTTAACTTAACTTTGTAAATTCTTTTTCACGTAACGTTATTATTAAAATTTCCTTGCAATCTCAAATACGAATGAAATGTTCAACATATATGTATATGTATTTGCACATATATTCTATAAATAGTGTACACGTTAATAAACTAGTCGGATAACGGCATAGCAGCGTACTTCCTGTAAGTTCCGCCCGAGCGAACGCACAAGTACGATATATTTATTCTAAACTAGTCTTTCACACTCGAAACACTTTCGCCGTTATATTACGTATGATAATCCTTACATATTCAATTTCTACAAATATCTGTGTTAAACGTTCGAAATTATGTAATTCTCTAACGCGGAAAAAGTTGATCCAGTTAATTCGTTCGTTCGTTCGTTCGTTCGTTCCTCCTTACAAATCATATTTTTCTTTGCGTAACGATACGGAAGAAAGTTAGGAAAAAACATTTCAACGAGAAAACTAACACTTTTCAAGGGCTCCGGAAGTAACCAACGTAATAATATAATCTTGCAATCAATGTTTCACGTTGACAATCGATGTTCCATTTTCCATAAATAAAAAATAAATTTATGGTTAGCGAACAGTCATTTTCACGATTAATTTTAGGATCAATTTTTACGTAGATCAAATGTGTACGCAATGATCAAAAATTAACTCGACGAAATCCCTTTATTCACTGACTCGATATATATGATTTATGAAGAAAGAAAGAATGAAAGAAAATGAAAGAAAGGAAAAAAGAATTAATAAAAAAAAAAAAAAAAAAAAAGAAAGAGAAAAAAAGGCCAATAATAAAAGATCAACTTATTTAATCACTCCGTAGTCATTGGCTTTATTATATTTACACACACCGATCACTTTTATCGTCACAATATGCGCAATATGCGAAAGTTCACAAAAGGTTTCACACGCGAAGCTTTTGTCTTTTTCGTTTCTCTCTCAATCTCTCTCTCTCTCTCTCTCTCTTTCTCTCTCTCTCTCTCTCTCTCTCTCTCTCTATCGAGGTCTTCGATCACAGAAAAAACAGAAAAAAAAGAAAAAAAAATAATAAAAAAGGAAAGAGATGAAGGAAAGAAAGAAAAAAAAAGGAAAGAGAAAAAAAAAATTAAAGGATGCTGCACCAACGTGTGATACGTACCGTCACGTAGGTGTACATTGTGTCCTGTTCGTACGATTGTGTTAGTGTATGTGAATGTAAGTAGGCAGCGAGGCTAGAGTACCGGCTGTTGCTCGAACTGAGGCCCTCATATACCTTACTGGGCCCCCCCGTTCCTGCCCTCTCCTCCGTACCCTCATACTCTTATTCCCTGCTCCGGGGGACTTTCACTATCTATTCGAGTTCTGTACGCTCGCCTTGTCCTCTTACAAACAGCACCTTATATCCCCTAAATCTATGGACGCCTTTCCCCCACCCACCCCCCACTCTCCACCAAATTGTAAAACATGCCCCTCTTTTTGGACTGTTCGTTTGAAAAAAATCGATCGACGAAATGATATAATTCACGTTGTTTTTCTTCTGGACGGAGGAAAAGAAAAGGAAAAAGAAAAAGTAAAAAAATAGAAAAAAAGAAAAAAAAAGAGAGAGAAATAAATTTTTTTTAGAAAGAAGAGAAACAATTGAAAACATGATGGATTTTTCTCTTTCGTCTTCTTTTCTACTTCTTCTTCCTTTTTTTCTTTTTGTTTGTTTTTTTTCTTTTTTCTTCTTTTTTACTTTTCGACAAAAACTAATTCCATAACGTGCAAAGCCGATAAAACAGATAATAATCGTGTTTTTTTACGAACTTTGCAGATATTTTCTGGCGAAAGATATTTCTTCTATTTTCTTGGTTTTTTTTTTTCTCTCTTTCCCCCTTTCTTTTTTCTTCCTTTAATTTTCAGAAAAAAGAAAGAACTACGATATAAATCAGAAAATCCAAAAACTTTTCTATAAGAGCAAATACATTGTTATTTATAAATCATCGTGAAAAAAAAAAAAAAAATATATATATATATATATATATGTAAATATAAAGATATTGGAGTAAAAAAAGATTTTAAAGCGTCTTCCCAATTAATTTCTATATTAATTTGGATGTAAATTTGAATGTTTCAACGCCATGATAGAGAGACAGAGATAGTGAAAGAAAGAGAGAGAGAGAGAGAGAGAGAGAGAGAGAGAGAGAGAGAAAGAGAGAGAGAGAGAGAGAGAGATAAACAGACAAGAAGAACGCGGACAAAAAGCAGTTTGGCAGGCGTCGAGCTTCTGTGAGAGAATATTATGTAAAAGCTGGAATATTGGGGTCAGTAAAGAGAAATTACAGGTGTACTTTTCGTTTCGTTTCGTTTCGTTGCTCCGATCGAAAAATCCTTTCATCCACCCCCTCCCCCACCTCTCTCTCTCTCTCTCTCTCTCTCTCAAGAGTTTAAATCGCGAAAATATAGATCGTTCGATCGATCAATATGGTATTTAAAATGCTATGCGGCAGGCCCGTTAGACGACGGGTCTAACTAGTCTCTCTCTCTCTCTCTCTCTCTCTCTCTCTCTCTCTTTCTTTCTCTTTCATTTTCCCTCTCTTTGACATGTTCCACTTGTGTCGTTTACTTCGAAACGATCCAAAGACATTTTCTAACTAGACTCGTCTGGTCGAGTTTCTTATCGAGAATATTACGTTCCCTTATCAAACTTCCTTTACGAATAACCTAATCTTACCTAATCTTACAGAGAGAGAGAGAGAGAGAGAGAGAGAGAGAGAAAAATATTAAGGTTAGCTCAATCAAATGTTCTCTTATTTTATGGAAAATCATAGGTGTTTTACTTTCACCGTAACTGACCGTCTAATCGCCATATAAATTCATTTCTCCCCCCTCCCCCCTCTTTCTCTCTCTCTCTTTCTTTTTCTCTTTGATCATTCCTCTTGAATCGAACTTCAACAAGTTCGATAAACATTGCCTTGGATTAGGAAAATCGAATGCTTTCGAGATTAATAAATGACAACGTAATCGATTAGAATTGATAAAAGCTTTAATCTCTTTTTTCTCTCTCTCTATCTCTCTCTCTCTTTTTTTTCATTTTTAACTTTGATCTTTATGTAATACCGATCGCATAACACAATGCGGGGCATATGACGGCGTTAGCCTTAGGTTAGTAGTATTCTAGATTTTACGCCGTTCTAAGAAAGGAGAAAGCGTCATGCAAAGAAAAAAGAAAAAAAAAGGAAAAAAAAAAAGAAGAAAAAAGAAGAAAAGAAAAGAATAATCACTTGGCATCAATTTTATGCCTATCGATAAAAATCGTAATATATTCTCTCTTCTCTTCATTTCCAACTAAACAAATTCATTTTTATTACTACGAACAATAAAACATTTATTTACGAATGAAAATGATTTAATTTTGAAGAAATTGCGATCTCATTGAAATCTATATAATTTATTATTCGTATTATTCGTATATCTTTAATGAATATACGCGATTCGATTTTAATTCATTTTTCTTACACTTCGCTCGATATAAATATATATTAATTATAA